TCTACTAGCACTAACGTTGCAGGCTGCTTTGCGACTTGCTGGGCTGCTGCAGCATGATGGAGGAGTGGTTGAAAGAGGGGTTATTGTCGTCACTTGGAAACTCGTCAGAGGAACTGAACTCGGCAGTTGACTTCGAGTTGACCAAAGTGTTGTAGTCACTTGGCCACTATTGCGGGGCCCTCAGGCGCTGAAGGATTGAAGGCCCTCTCACGCGAGTCCGAGTGCAACTCTCTTGAATCTGAGAGCCTCAAATTTATCTCTTCCTGCCCTTCTTACTCTAAGTCTAGTCTATTTGGTTCTGAGAAGAAGGCGGCAGGCGGGCGTGTGGCCCGTAATCCGCGCAAAGGCCTCTGTGGGAGGTTCGCCCCACCGATTGCGGGAGCTCTGCTGGGACTTAGGCGGAGTCCTGGAGGCAGGGAACTGAGTGGTAATTCCCTGACTCCCTCTATAAACCTAACTATAACCCCTACTTGTACATCTCTCTATGTTTGACTGAGTGAATTGTGTGGATCCTATACTTGGTTTTGAGTTTGAGTTTCAGGACATAAGTCAGAATGAAGTAAAGGAATGTATGGACAGATACCAGTTTCAGTTTGTTGACTGCCTGAAAGCATATGGTGAATGGAATGGGTTGCATCCGGGGGAAGATTGGGAGGGAGGCAGTATTGTGTGCAGATTCACTGGGTCACTAAGGCTGGGAGGTCCCCTTAAGTTTGGGGAAGCCCAGCGCTTTGTTTATTTTTGGGTTGCTTGGAGCCTCCGGCCGCTCTATAAGTTTAGGTAGCCTGAAGCTCTTGAGGCAGGGATGTATTGCATGGAGGGTCAGGACGCTCTATAAGTTTAGGTGTCCTAGCTGCTCTGACTTGTGAGGGTTTGACTATGGGTGATTTTCAGGGACCCAAGGCGCTCTATAAGTTTAGGTACCTTGGGTTGCCTCGCTTTATTCGGGGTTCTCTCAGTTTCTTTGGTTCTCAACGAGGAGGTCTGGACCGCTCCTTAAGTTTAGGTGGTCCAGCCCTTCTCCTGTTTTGTTCTGAGGGAATAATTTTGGCAGGGGACAGGCCGCTCTATAAGTTTAGGTAGCCTGACCCATTGCCTCGCACAAATTGGATCAGAGAGAAACGAACCTGGCTGAGGATCAGACCGCTCTATAAGTTTAGGTGGTCTGACCCAATGCCTTGCACATGTTGGAACCCAATGAATATAATCTGGCTATATTGCATTACTATGCTATTATGAACAGGCTGGTCAGACCGCTCTATAAGTTTAGGTAGCCTGAGTATAGCTTATCACAACTGAAGAGAGTATAACTAAGAGATATAACTGAAGGTAAGCTTGGGCGGGCTGGACAGTGTTGTAAGTTGAGCGGCTCAGCCTTATGCCCCTTTTGAAGATTAAGTTCAGAGAGGTATATATAATTTGGCTATTTAAACAGTTCAGGGCGACTAGAGTGGTCTAGTCATACGCCCAAAGAAGAGAGAAGTAGTTGTGTCATCTGTTTGTGTATACCTGGCTAAGTCAGAACGCTCTATAAGTTTAGGTATTCTGACTTTGGGCCTGGCTAAGTTGGGCGCGCTATGAAAGTTTAGGTGCCCTGACCTATGCCTTATGTAAGTTGGGTATGAAGGGATAACTCACAGAGGAAGCATGAATTATGAGTTTCTAAAGGAACTTGGGGTTGGCGAGAGTACCTACCTTTGTAGTTTGGCCTGCATGTGGCTGAGTGAGATTACTACATGGTCTAGGTTTCAGGTGGACAGGTAGTTGCATGTGGCTGAGTTGACTTTATTTTACTTAGATCGATTCTTGCATTTTCAGAGGCTTGCATTATATTTGAACTTGTATAAATTTTGGTAAGCTACTTTCTCTACGGGAAGCACTGCCGAAATTTCTACAGATTCAAAGAGTTAGATAAATCTTGACTTGTCAAAGTCCAACTTGTCTTTTCGTTATATCTGACTTAGTAAAAATCTGGGAAGCCTCCTTTTCTAAAGGGAGTGCTGCCCAATTTTTTATAAATTCAGGAAGTTAGACAAAATTTGGGCCTTGAGAAGTCAAAGTTAGTCTCAGGTTTCAAACTTAGCTTTGCATAAATTTTGGGAGAGCACTTTTCTAGGGGGAGTGCTACCGAAATTTCTGCAGAGACTAAGGAGTTAGTGAAATTTTGTCTAAGTTGAACTCAAGGTTGGGGGCTGAGTTCAAATTCGACTTGGTATAAATCCGGGAAATCCCCAATTCCGAAGGGGGCGCTGCCCAAATTTCTACCAATTCAGAGAGTTAGACAAAATTTGACTTTCAAAAGTCATAGGTTACTCCGGCTTTTGATATTTGGGCTTGTATAAATTCTGGAAAGGCACTCCTCCTATGGGAAGCGCTGCCGAAATTTTCTTGAACTAGAGGAGTGAGATTATATTTTGATAGGTGGCGATTTTGACAATCCACCCTGAATAGGGGAGATTCTGCCATTAGTCTACCTTTTGCTTGGGCACTGGCTTAGAGGCAGGTTTGGACTTAGTTAGCAGAAAGCTTTGAGCGAGAATGTGCTATGGAGGTTATCCCCCATATGCTGATGATGTAGCTTGGGCATTTGACCTATCTTGTGCTACAGGTCCTTAGGGGTGTCTGATTAAATATCAGGACTAGACTCAGCTTGATCCCTTGAGGATCAACTCCTATTACCACTGATAACAGGTCGGTTGCCGATTCGTCGGTCTTCGACTCAATTCCAACTCACTCTCCATACTCAACCCCCTGGTGGTTCTACTGTTTGTTAAGGGTTTCACCTGAACTTTTATTGAATGACCATTTAACAAAGGTACTGAGTATTTAATTGACGTTGGTCGGATCGGCGGTTGGGGCTTGCATGGCTAAAGCGAAGGGGTATGAGCATAGAGATTGGTTGGGGTTGACTCCGTGTAGTGTGTGTTTGTTGCTTGATCCTTGGTGTGATTGCAGGTATGTCCTGTGGCTCGGATTTGGATTTGGACTGCCTGCGATCCCATATACATATACATGGTTGTGAGGAGTCCCACTGTGCCTGTGAGAAGTGATCGTCGCATCTCAATTTTCTCTTTTGCATGTATGCGTGGGTATACTCACGATGAGTGTTCGAGAGGCCTGAGAGGCCGTGTTAAAACCCGCTTGAAGGTTGAGGTTGAGGGACAGGGAAGGCCCTCCCTCCTGCCTATCTGCGTCTTGGGGCATTCTTAGTCAGACGTTGGCCCTGGGTCGGGATTCATGGTTCTTGTCCAGGACATCCCAAGCCCTAGGCCCTGCAGGGGAGGAGCCTCCCCTCCCACAGAGCCTATTTGTTTTAGCCGGTGGGACACCCCACCTGGAAGGCGAAAATATCGCGAGAGCCGAACGGCGTGTCCTTCAACTGTTCAATATCGCAAGGGGTGACCCCTCGCGATGGGTACCTTCAACCATTCAATATCGCGAGGCCGGAGCCGCGATTGCCACATACAACTAACATTGGTGGTTGGCGTAGAATTGGCCTGCGTCCGCGCCGCTTTAAGTTAGAGTCCTGCGCGCGACGCTTCGCCGCTCCAGCGCCTAAAAGGTTATGGGATCGCCGGGCTCGCGCGTAGGCGCAGCGCTTGGGATTATGGCAGGCCGCCGGCGCCACCCAAAGAGGGGAAGAATGCTCCAAGGCCACGAGCCTTTTCAAAGCCAGGGGACCTTTGTCCTATTTCCACTTCTTGGGTTTGTGCGTGTTTGTTTGCTTCTTAGAGATTTCGATGGTTGGACGTTGTAGTCCGTGGCAGCCGCCAAAGTCAAACCCCTTGACTTTCGCCCAGGCCCAGGGAGGACTCACCCCTAGGGCCGCGAGAGACGACTACTACCACAGGCTTTGGACCTGTGTACCACCCGCTCTGCACAAGGGTGCAGAAGAGGGTGTGTGGTCTTCAACCGCGCATGGCGGTTGTCCAGCGTCGAGAGACTAACCCTCAAGGCGCGTGTCAACCGGCACTTGAGTGTCGAATACGGCCCTCGAGATTAATGAGGACCGCGTGAGTATGGGTACTACATAGTACGCCATCATCGCGACTGTTTGTGTACGCTCGCATTGCGAGTCGATACGAGTTAGCCCTGCGTCCGCGCGGTTTTATACTAAGTCTTGCGCGCGACGCCCATCCAACTTCCGCTTTGGAAAGTTATGGGTTGGCTACCGAGGGGCTAGGAGCGTTGTCGCATTGTATGTGCGTGTGTGCGTGTGTCTTATTTTTTTGTGTGTGTTCGTAGAGTGGTGTGCACGTGGTGTGTGGGATGCGTCCTAGTTGACCGACGACAAGTCGTGCTTGGGACCTTAGCCCCCCAAGGTGTCGGTTCGCATGCGGGTCCGATAGGCATATTACCGCGCGTACCCCCTATGCTACAGCGAACGAGAAACGCCCTCGGCTGGTCCACCTCTGCGATTGCAACTGATCAACTTTCGTATTGTGGACTGGTAACTCGGCGGGGATACGCCCACCGATGGGAGGTGACAGCTCCCGTAAGGTGGAGGTAAGTCGTGCCTCGCGTAGGCCCTATCCTGTCGTAGGGGCTCGCGAGAGGTATGGCTGCCGCACTCGGTCGGAGCGGCCTAAGGAAGCTCCATTTGTGCGTTAGTGTCGAGGTTGGTCCAACTCCTGCGTGACGCGGCCGAGAGGGTCCCGCACTGCCACGCGCAGTGCCGGACCGATGCGCTGGACAAGTGGCGCCGTTGCCGGGGACAACGGAAGCCTACCGTTATCCCTGGTGGAAGGACATCCGGGTATGGGAGTGAAGGAGAAACTAGGCATATGAGTGAGTATGAGATGGACTCTATGGTGATCTATATGACTGAGGGTTGAATGATTGATTGATTGGCGGCTTGGCTGACGACTTGAATAAGGCAAGTGTGTGAGGAGATCTTATAGTAAGGGTAGGCCTTATCTAAGGAGGCTTAAGGGAGAGTGAGAAGAGAGATGTCTGCCAGGTCTAGAGCGTCGGATGCTTGAGGGGTCAACCCGATAGGGTCGTGAAGGATTGAGTCGTTGAGTGGGGTCTTTCGTCCTATTGTTTCTTACAACAGGAAGTTTGAAGTCGGAGGCGGTTGACCAACGTGCCAGAGAAAATGGCGGACGGTGGGAAGAGGCTTGTGACTCTCAATGACCTCATCGATGCCCTGGACAAGCACGAGAGGGCGCCGAGCAATGTCCCAAAGGTCGAGACATTCCATTTCAAGGGGGATCGGGTATCTGACTGGTTGGATCTGACAGAGCAGGCGTTGGTAGGGCTGTCAGATGAGGTCAAGCTCCAGCGGGTTCTAAGGTACGTCCTGCATAGTCACCATCGGGAAGTAAGTAAGGTCATGGATGCCGTCGGTGGCAGTTGGACAAAGTTTGGGGACCTGATGCGAAGGAAGTACAGGCTGGGGGATGGCCTGTTGACCATGACCGACTTGGAGGCCATGAATAAGGAAGACTTCTCTACCATTGGGGCGTTCGTGCACGAGTTTAAGAAAAAGGCGAGGAAGGTGCACGGGATTTCTGAGGAGGCGCAGTGCGCCACATTTTTGGGGCTGCTTACGGGCTCGGAGGCCATAGAGCTGACAAAGTATGGGGAAGGGAGTGAGAGGCTCACCTGGGCAACCATTGACAAGGGAGTGGAAGAAGGGAGCTTGGACCAGGTGGAGCAGCACCAAATGAGGCTGCAAAGGCGCAAGAGGAAGGAGAGGGATGCTACCACATCCGGGACCCCAGGGGTGAAGAGAATCGTCACGGACGTGTTGGCGGCGCTGGGGTATGACAACGAAGCGGAAATACAGAAAAGAGAGGTGCTAGTGGCCCAAGGTCGGGCGTCAGGGGTAGTAGACGAGGAAGCTGGGTAGGAAGACTATGGCGGAGGGGAGACGGGTTCCCAAGCCCTGACTAAGACCCAGAGGAAGCAGCGCAATCTACTGCTGGGAGGACAGGGGTCAGGGAAGGGGCAGGCTCCCCAAGCCATTGCCGCACCACCGCCTGTCGCCGCGGCCGCGTCGACGCCAGCAGGATCATCGCACATGGCAAGTATGGGCCCCCCGAGCTACCCAGCGGCTCAAGGCCAGCCTGTGGTCCAGCCGCCGCCCTCCCAACAGGCCTCGCAAGCTAGTGTGGCCGGGGGAAGGGGCCAAGGACAAGGCGGGCAAGGCACTGGGGGGCGGGGCCAAGGGGGTAGAGGAGGGGGCGGCTGGGGGCGAGGAGGAAATGGTGGAGGCCGTGGAGGAGGTTGGAGTGGTCAGGGGGGCTCGAACCAAGGTGGCCAAGGCAGCCAGGGAGGGGGCCAAGGGTACGGGAGGCCCCGCTTTGATTGGTGGAATGCGACTTGTTGGCATTGTGGCGAGGTGGGCCACACCATACGGTTCTGCCAACAGCGGTGAGACGACGAGCTGGCAGGGTTGATCTCCTCATGCATGGACGGGGACATATACGATAGGTGGGGGACGCATATTGACCCCAGGTCTCCGGGAAGAATTAGGCAGGAGGCGCTCAAGAGAGCGGCGGCAGGACCACCGGCAGCCCCAGCGGTGTTCAGGATATGGCAGGAAAAGGAGGACCCGGGTGTGAGGGTCGAAGAGATTGTGGACGAGAGTGAGGAAGTGACTCAACAACTAAAGGCAGGAACTATAAAGGAGGAGCCTATAGTCGTTGAGTCCGACGATGAGGTGCAGGAGGTGGTAAGAGAGTCGGCCTTGACCATCTTGGAAAGGATGGAGGACCTACTAGCGAAGGTCGGCAGGTACCAGGAACGACTGAGAGTGATGTGCGAAGAGGCCTGGGAATGGGAAACGAACCTTCCTGAAGTAATGCTCTATGGGTCCGGCCCGGAGTCATCATCAGGACCGCAAGGGTGCCCAAGCATGGCGACGGTCGGGGCAGGTCTTAGGTCAGGGATGACCTTCAGACCCCCTACGTCGCATGGAAGGGTGCCACAGGCCGCGCAGACTAGGGGCCAAAGTAAGGCTACCGCTAGTCAAGGGCCCAGCCAGGCACCTGGTCGGGCGCCTCCTCGAAGGGAACCTGAGCCTGAACGAAGGAAAGAAGTGGTGGAGGTTCAGGAGGAGGAGGATGAGGGTGATGATAAAGAGGATGAGAGGCTCCACCAGAAAGAAGATCGGCGAGCTGAGCAGAGGGCCAAGAAGAGAGGGATTCAGGGAGGGGCGGAGCCGAGCCTGCACGATGGCGTGCCAAAAAGGAAGAAGTACGCAGTCCGGTTGGAGGAAGGTTTTGACGTGTAGCGAATGGTGGACAAGCTCCTGGAGGGCCACAACGATTTGATGAATCTAAAGGACATTTTGGCGTCGGCGCCAAGGCTCCGAGGCGAGCTGAAAGGGCGGCTCTCACGACGGTTAGTGCCCAACGTCCACTTGAGCTCAATCGTACCCAGGGAGATAGAGTGGACAGAGGCGGGCACCAGGATGGATTGGAAATGTGTGGCATGTGGGCTGGTGGATCTGAAGGTAAGAGACCAGCCGAGTACCGCAATGGTGGACACGGGCGCTGAGATGAATCCGGGAGCGGGACGCGACCATGCTAGGGTTGGAGGTTGACCATTCGGACCATGGGGTGCTGCATGGGGCCAACTGTAAAACATTTTTTTGTGGTACCGCGTCTAATGTGATGGTGGAGATTGGTAGGGTAAGGGCGCGAACGTGCTTCTTCGTCATGCCCGATGTCGACCACCCTATCCTTCTTGGGAGGTCGTTCTTCTGCCGAACGGAGACCTTGGTCTTCAATAGGCATGAGGGGACAATGATCCTGACCCTATCTGATCCGGCCTGCGGGAACTACGAAATTATCAAGTGCCGGAACACAGGGCCCGGAAGTGGGAGAAACAAGCTTAACCTCGGCTCCTTTACCTTCGAGGAGTCTGAGTACGCGCGACGAAGACTCCGGGAGGAACAAGAGGAGGAAGGAGCGGGCGAGGTATTGTCCCTAAGCCTCAACGATGTGAATAAGGCAATGGAGGTGGTGGCGGCGCATGATATGGCGGACCCTGAGGCTATAAAGGCATTGAGGGAGCAGGTCCTAGAGAGCCCTCAGGTGGGAGAAGTGGAACTGATCTATCGGCTTCCAGGAAGGAAAGGGGACCCTGCGATGGCCCAGCCCCGAACGACAAGTCGGCCTTTTTTAGGGGAGGGCTTAAGCAGGGATCCCAAAGGCGGTACAAGACTATAGATAAGAAGTGTCGCCCGGTCCCCGTGCTTGTCACGGAGGATGAGGAAGCCTATTATGAGCGGGAGCGAGGGCTGATAAGACGTATGTGGGAGCGCGCACAGGCAGGACCGTGCCGCATCAATAACAAAAATGAGGAAGGGTTGATAATTGGCGAGCCTGGCTTCCTTTCACCCCAGAAGAGGACCTTGATGGTGGAGACCATGAAGAGGAGGCATTGCGCGTATGCGTTTAATGACGACGAGCGTGGGAGGTTGGACGTGGATAAGATTCCAATGATACGAATTCATACCGTCCCGCACGAGCCGTGGAACCTGAGGGGCGCGCGATATCTGAACCCGGATGAGGAGAAGAAGGTGGTGGACTACTTGGACGGGAGATGCGGATGTATGTGGCTGATTACTCCAGTGAACCGTATGTTTCCCCTTGGTTTTGCTTCATCAAGCCAAACGGGACGTTACGGTGGCTACAGGATTTGCAACGGTTGAATGCGGTGACGGTGCGGGACGCGGGAGGACTGCCGAACACGGACGCCCTGTCAGAGTCATGCGCAGGAAGGCCTATAATCTCACTTATAGACCTTTATTCTGCGTATGACCAGTTTCCTGTATACCCGCCGGATAGGCCGGTAACGGCGATGCATACGCCAAGGGGGCTGATCCATATGAATGTGGCCCCTCAGGGGTGGACTAATGCAGTAGCGATGGTGCAAAGGCACATGATTAGGGCTATGCAAACAGTTAGCCCACATATCACCCAACCCTACATTGACGATTTGGCGGTCAAGGGTCCAAAGGAAAAAGAGGAAGACGAAGTGATGCCAGGAGTGAGGCGGTTCGTTTGGAAGCACATCCAGGATATCGATCAGGTTCTGGGTCTGCTGGAAGAACATAGCCTGACGGCTAGCGGGCCCAAGTCGAAGCACTGTATGAGGGGGGCCACGATTCTGGGCTTTGTCTGCAACGAGAAGGGGCGGAGGCCAGATGTGAAGAAAACGGACAAGATCCTAGAGTGGTCAGTTCCCTTTCAGTCGATAACGGACGTGAGAAGCTTCCTTGGGATCTGTGGGTTCTGGAGGAGTTTTGTGAAGGACTTCGCCACCAAAACGGAGCATTTGAGGAAGCTGGTGCGTCAGGACTAGGAGTGAGTCTGGGGCGAAGACCAGGAGAAGGCTGTGGAAAGGATGAAGGGAGAGTTTAAGGAAGGAGGCTTGGTGCTGGGAGCACCAAATTATGAGGCCACGGAGGAAAAGTCGTTCGTGGTCGAGACGGACGCTGGGCCGACTGCCTTAGGAGGGGTCCTGATTCAGGCAGGTGCGGATGGGAAGGAGAGGCCGCTAAGGTTCGAAAGTTGTACTCTCAATAGGACTGAGAGAAATTACTCACAGTTTAAAAAGGAGACGTTGGCGGTGCTCCATTGCCTAAGGACCTTCCGGAACTGTATCTTTGGCAGGAGGCTCATTTTGAGGGTGGACCCTACTGCGCTGGCATGTTCCCTAAAAATTATACTCCATCTGACCCAACCATCACGAGGTGGTTGACTTACATTTGGATGTTTAACTTTGAGTTGGAGAGGATTCCAGGGGACAAGAACAGGGCGGATGGGCTGAGCCGTATCAACTGGGATGGGGCGAGTCAGGAGTCAATTGAGGATACCCAACCAGTCGACGGGTTCTTGGATCAGGAAGAGGATGTCCGCCTCCACATAAATGAATGGTCGTTGAAGGTGCCTAGCTGCGTCACGCATCCTATATGGCTAGCGCCAAGGGGGTACAAGCAAAAGGAGAAGTTGGTCCTCAAACCCTTCCAAGAAGAAGATCCGTGGGGGAGTAGGGATATTGGCTGGATGATGAAGTTAGCACCAGCAGGTACGCATAGTTTGGCGGAGGAGGTAAGGACAATAGAGGAAGGGCCAACCCAGGTAGAGGAGCATGAGCAATTAAAGGGAGGGATGTACTTGCTCACTAATACGCTCCTGCAGGGGAACTTTGACCAAAGGAGCTCATCCGGTTCTGAGGAGGGCGAACTCCTTATTTCTGAAAGCCAGGACGACGAGTTCGAAGAGGGAGAGATCAGGGAGGCCTTCTGCGCAGAAGAGTATGACGGGATCTATCGGGAATTGGGGTTACTCCTGTCAAGCGAGATAAGGGATAGAGACGCAAGTGCTAAAGCCCAGAAGATGAGGCATCTCTACGTGGTAAGAGATAGCCATCTATTTATAAAGCGACAGGTCGAAAACCCCAAGAGGATCGTATGTGGGAGGAACCGGCAGATCGATGTCATAGCAACCCTACACGATGGTATAGCAGGGGGGCACAGAGGGGTTAGTGCCACGTGTGCAAAAATAAGCGAGTTATACCGTTGGGATGGAATGCTAACTATGGTCATCAAGTACTGGCAGTCCTGTATACCTTGCCAGCAGAGGTCAACGCAAAGGCCTGGGGAGCCTCTGCACCCCACGTTGGAAAGGGAAGTGGGTGCGGTCGTACACCTGGACCTGTTCTTTATGCCACTCAGGGAGGATGGAAGCAACTATATCTTCGACGCACGGGACAACCTTACTGGGTTCGTGGACGGTCGGGCTATTCATACGAAAACTGGCCCAGTTTTAACAAGGTGCATCGAGGAGTACTACCTGCGCTATTCGTTTGTCAGGGAGTTTGTGATGGACCGGGGGTCGGAGTTCACATGTAACGAGGTGCGGACCTTACTTGCGGGGTATGGCGTGGTAGCGAACTATACTACTGCCGCGCACCCCCAGGCAAATGCACCTGTGGAGAGAGGGCGTAGTACCATCACAAATCTTCTGGCCAAATGGACGGAAGGGAGGCCTAACCAGTGGCCGAAGTTTCTGAGAGCAGCTTTCTTCGTGGAAAACGTTACAGTGAAAAGGACTACCAAGTATGCGCCAGCCACACTATGGTACGGAAGGCATGCCACCTTTCCCATAGAAAGCTTCATGAACACGTGGAGGCGACAGGACCTGGAAGTGGACCTGTCCTTTGAAGAACTGCTCGATATTCGGGCGCGGCAAGTGGGAGCTGCTGAGGAAAGGTTGCGAGAGGCCACTGGTCAGGTAGAGAGGAGTCGCATGGAAGACAAGATGAGATGGGACCAGATGGCCCGAGTAAGAAAGGATCCGCTGAAAGTTGGGGATGTGGTACTGCTGTATGACTCCTCGCTGGAAAAACAATGGTTTAGGAAACTCGACAAACGATGGCTGGGGCCTTATAGGATCGTGCGGTGTGGCGAGTTTGGGGCCTACCAAATTGAAAAGTTGGACGGGGCCGGGTGGCAGGACTGGGTATCAGGGACAAGGCTGAAGAAGTTCGTGGCCAGGGAATAGGTAAAGGGCCATGAAACCTCGTCAGGAATAGAGTCTTGCCTAGGTATTACCCATGTCAGGTGATTAGATAGATGGGTGATTGGGGTGGATGGGTGTGGAGTGTATGTGGGATTCCCCTAAGTTAATGGGCTCAGTTGCTGACCCTGCTGTGTGCCTGTTTGCTGTCTCTCGCCTGTTGTGCAGGTCTGACTTTTCGAAGGCAGTCATGCAGAGGGGTAGGAGGGACGCACGGCCACGGCAGGGGCCCCAGGGAGCAGCGGGGAGAGGCAAGAGGCACGAGCCGCCTAGGAGGGAGCCTACGCCCGAGTTCGATGACGATAACATACAGTTTTTCCTGGACGTATATCGGGATCATGCGGCACAGAGAGGGTGGTCAGTGGTGGAGAGGATTCACCACTTGAGGGGTATAGGGCGGTTTGAGGAGCCTGTTGCTCAGATATGCGAGGAGGCCCTGACTTGGCCAGATGTGGAGGCCGGGATGCAGAGACTGAGGGTTTCGCCCAGGGGACGTGACGGCATGCCCATTCGGTTAGAGGAAGGGAACGCAGAGGAGTTTATTCCCGCATATGAGCACTACATGTTGAGTCAGGGGATTGCACGGGAGGAGTGGGTACAGACCCTACTTATCTGGACTAGGGGGGCAGAGAGGCCGGTGGCCAGACAGATTCGGGAAAGGGCTCGAGATTGGGAGGACTGTCAGGCCCAACTCAGGAGGGCGTTCGGACAACCAGAGCGCGAGAGGCCCGAGCCCAGGGTCGAGAAGCGGAGGCGGAGCAGGAGGCCGAGGGAACCAGCGCCGAGAGAAGTGGGGCTGACCGGAGAGAGGAGTAGGGCCCCAGCACATCAAGGGGATGAGCCTGCAGGGCCCGCACTGGAAGAGGAATCGTTCCCTGCTTGTGACCTCCGGGCAGTTGAGTTTCGGCGGATTACGAGCGAGGAGTTGAGACCGCCCTCACCATTGTCATCAGGGCAGGAGCTGGACATACCAGGAGAGACGCCATTCCGGAACTTAGCGACTCACCTTGATGTATCGCGATGGGAGGCCTCACAGTTGGGGGAGGGCTCAATTGAGCCGACGCGCTATGTGCCGTTGGAGGAGCCTTTGGACCCCGAGAAGGAGACTGGCGTGCCAGACCGAGAGGAGCCCCAGGATCCTGAGATGGCAGCCGAGCAGCCGGATCCGGTACGGCCTCAGGATGGGGAGGTGATCATGGTCGGAGACGATACCCCTCCTTACTCCCCAGTTCCAGAGCCAGCACAGCATTCATGGCCAGAGGGGATTCGTGAGCCAGGCAGCGAGGAGATTCCGGAGTTTCCCCCTTAGGCCACCGCTATGCCTGAGCAGGAGGCAGAGCTGGAGGGTCAGGGAGCGTATGAGAGAGCGAGGGTGGAGGTACCCCCTGACTTGCCATCGGCCATGCATGGGACCGAGAGCCCAGTTATCGAGGAACCTGCTCCAACGTAGTTACTGCTAACGTTGCCATGCACGAGCGAGAGGATGAGTACCGAGGCGTCAACTCCGGAGGGCCAGGGGCCGCGGGTGAGAAGAGCCCCAAGAGAGACCCGCAAAGAAAAGTCTGCCCGGGTGCGGGTCTGTCTGGATTAAATACATGCGAGACAGGCTGAGATGGAGGCGGCGGGGATAGAGCTAACACCGCCGGTCGAGCCCAAGACGAGCGAGCAGAGGATTGACGAGTTGTGGGCCGGATACGAGAGCCAGAGGGATGTGGCTCGCCAGAGGTCACGAGAGAGGGGGCAGGCGGACGAGGAGGCGGGTGAGCTGAGGGAGATGGGGGACTTGGGGTTCTCCGCGACTAGAAAGGCGATTGAGCATGTGGATAGGAGGATATGCGAGACGGCGGTTACATCCTTCCAGTGGTATAATCTACTCAGCAATGAGCTCAGGGTTAGAGAGTTGGAGGTGGAGCACCTGACTACTCAGCTTGCCGAGGAGCCAGGTCAAAGAGGTTGAGTGGGAGAGGAGATTTGGGGAGATGGCGGCCGCTGTGGATAGGCTCTCGGCAGCCTGGGAGGCTAGCCAGGCGGGGCGAGCCGGTGTCGATGGCCAGGGCCGAGGGATGCAGGCTTCGCCGAGTCAGGGAGCAGCGGTGAAGGTCCCTCGACAGGCCGAGCCAATGGGGGAGGTACCTCTGGATACGGCCGAAGAGGAGGGTGGCGTCCAGGAGTCACTTATGGCGATGTCCACGGAGAGAAGAGACTCACGTTTGCACGAGTTGGCGGCAGACATGGGGATAGGTACTCCACAGGAGGGGCCTTAGAGGCTTGACGCCCCAGGCTACGCCCCAGAGCTGGGAGAATTGAGGACGGAGTTGGGCTCTTGGGCCACTGGGACGGACTCAGGAGGACCTGACTCAGGGCGGCAGCAGCGACAGGAGGTCATGAGTGAGCCAGCCGCCGTGGCGGGCTCTCAGCCGTCAGGATCATGGGAGGATGAGGTGGTGGTGGTGACAGAGAAGCCTCATGAGGAGGGACCCCGAGAGTTGGACACGCCAGAGTGCGGGCCAGCGAGCATAGCCGTACGAGAGGGTGAGGGTGCTGAGGCTATGGAGCCCGGACCTCAGGGTCATATGGGATTGCCCTCGTGTCATGAGGTGACCACTGAGACCATGGGGACGCCTTCGACACCAAGTTCCCGGGGGAGAAAGAAGAAGACTGCCAAGTGGCACGATACTTTCTGCTTTTGGTGCAAGAAGGAGGGGCGTAGAGCCGTGGACTGCCCAGAGCTCCTCGAGGATAAGGCTGAGGGACGGGTTGCAGAGGTTGACGGCAAGTTTTATGACAGACAGGGCAGGGTAGTGGAGCGAGCTCCAGATGGGGGCAGGGCCCAGTTATTCAGGCAGAACCAGGAGGAATTGTGTGAGTAGGGGCTGGTCTCTCTATGTGTTAGTAGGGCCAGAATATTCGACATGCAGAAGGTGGGTTGGAGGTGTATATATGCTTAATTGGTTGAGGAGCCCTAGATGTGTGCGTGTTTTAGAGGTGGTAGGATGAGTCCCTGCCTGCTTATACATACATAATTGATAGTGTTTTCCTTGAGCTTTTCTTTCATGGGCTACAGCCTAGGACATGAGGGTCGGTCGTAGGACACATGAGACTATTCAGTGGATTTTTTATTTCGCGGTGCAGAAACTACTTGACTTTTGAGAGAGACTTGGGTATGAGCTTTCCTTGGTTGAGTGAGACAGGGGGTTACGCTTTTCGTTAGACTTTAGGTAGATGGTGTGTCCCGAGCGAGTTCCGCGAGTGTACAGTGGGGTCGGGGGCCATGCTCAGAAGGACAAAGTTTGAGTTGGGTGTTTGTGTTTGAGTTTTGAGGGAGGCATTCTACTCCCTGAGTGTATCATGAGTTGAGATCCTATGGGACTTGTCTTGTGACGACCACTATCACTCTCACATGTGTGGCGTTATCCTGATGTGTGATTGGCTTTGTGTGAGGGGTGTACAGGATACATCTCATGGGCGTGATTGTATAAAATGTAAAGCTGTCCACCTTCCGGTATACTCGTGCGGTCTGCTTGCAGGCGGACGAGAGGGCAGAGTATAAGGAAGGGGAGTGCAGCCTGTTTGTGAAAAATTGTGAGAATCCTACGGGATTGATGGATTCAGGAATTTGCATGCTTGGTCATACTGAACACCGTGGTCTAAGTTGTACAAGGACTCAGAAGATGGTCCCTCAATTTGAGTTGTTTGATGATTAAGACCCCCTTCATGGTTCTGAAGGGTGGGAATTGCATTGTTATCGAGGCCCCTTCATGGTTTTGGAAGAGGTCGTGTGAAGAGTTATCCCATACAGAAAAGGGGTGGCCGTGAAATCCCTTGTAAGAGACACCCTTTACCAAGCAAAGGTAGGTAAAATTTGAGTGGTATGGACAACATTCGTTTCTGTTGATAAAGTCTGATGAGAGGGAACCATGTTTGCTTGAAATGTTTGAGAAGGGCGAGAGATGCCTCAGGATGGGTGGCTGCTGGCTCTGATCAAGTCAGGAGCCACGGCCTAGTGGATCCGGCAAGGAAACTGTTTGTGATTAAGTGAAGGGTGTCGTGCCTATTATAAGAGGGCTGGTAAATGCCTTCAAACCCCTGCGTAGTCCCGCAGCGACCCGTGAATTGTTTGTGATGCCCCGCCGACCACCTGTGCTAATTCTGAGACATATTTAAAGGAATACCAAACTAACGGTAAAGTTTAGTGCCACCTGGGCGCAACCCCTAGTGGAGGGCTGCTAGTCGGTGCAACCTGGGTGCGGGCCCGCGAGGTAAGAGTTTAAGGGGAGTTGCCCGCCCCAGAGAAATTACTCCGCGGGATAGGAGTCGAGTCTTTTGGAAAAACCTGACTGACTGATTGTCAGGAAAAGCGCCTATCGTTGTATAACCAACGGGAGGATACCGCCGCTAAGGTAACAATGCGGTGGGCCGTAGACCTGGCCCGATCAACCAGGCTATGGTGGGCCCAGGTGGGGACCTAGTGTTTCTGTACTAGACTGCAGAAAAGGCCGAGAGAGGCTACAAACTTATACGTGTGTATTTTGTTTGATTGTGAGGAATTTGCTGGAAGAAGGCAAAGAATGCCTTCATAGGTCCCATTCGAAGCCCGCGTCCCTAGTTATGGTTCTGCTTACGAGAAAGAGGCTAACTGGGACACCCAACGAGAGGCCAACGGTTGTCTAGGACGAAAGGAGAAGAGGATGGTTTGAGGGCCTTTGGAACTTATGCTGTAGTATTGATGAGTAATACACCAGCGTCCTGTTGCCAGGACAATGGGGACCCAGGTTGAAACCGTGGCAGCATATAGTTGTGTTGGCACGGTTTGATGGAGGCCTCAACCCTGAGTCTGTCGGCTGATCGGATTGGTTCTAATCTCGTCAGCACTTGGAGTGTGAAGGAATCTATAGCTTTTTGATTTGGCGACGCGACGGGGACGTCGCTTAATATGGTCCGGTAAGCTGTCGGCGCGAATACCCTTACAAGGGTATCCGCCCTGGGTTTTGCAAGTGACAGAAAGACTCGGTTAACCTGGATTTTGAGTGCCCCTGCAGGAAAATGCGAGGATCGTCAGCGCGCGGGCAAAGGTCTGCCTTGTCCTGGTAGGAGGTATGTGGGTGCGCAATTTTAAGGTGCGCGTGTGGTTTTTTTTTATTGAGTGGGTGGCCAGGGTAGCCGGCCGACCCGTGCTAGCCCACGAGATTCGTTAACGGACGAAAGTCCGTTTTTGGTCGGCGCGCGCAATCGACGATAGGATTGGTGTGTCGGTAGGCACATGGGATGGCCATGGCGCGGGGCGGTGGCCTGGTGTGGGCACCTAAGGGCCGTGGGTACATATGTGGGCTGAAAAGGGGTGGTCAAGGCGGTGTTTTGGCCAGGGGCACCGCGAGGTACCGTTTGTATGGGAGGCCGTGCCGGCTGATGCCAGGCTTGGGCTTAGCCCTATCGGTTACGGCGTTGGACTATTGCGGCGGAAGTACGGGGGAACGAGGCCAGCGGACAACGGTGCGGGAGCGGCGAAAGGCTTGAGGGGCTGATGGGCCGTGGGACTATCCCCCTCGCCTTTTACAGTTATGGCGGCCTCGGTTCCCGCCTGATTGCCGCACGTTTGCGAGGGTGTATATATATAATTTTTTTAATTTCGAATTTTTGTTACTACTATTTGTCCTCACGCCCGTATGAGGGCACGAAACCGCGGTGGGTATGCCCACGAAATAAGCCGGCGCTCGGACCCAGATGAGGGAACTTGGTGGGCAAGGAGTGCATCCCGAACTGCCTGGGGGCCGCTTGCCTCCGCGACATATGCTGTGTCCGTCGGGACGCCGTTAGAAGTTGAAACGTCACAGAAGGGGTTGGCATGGCCCATGCATAAGGGTGGCACGCGCGAACCGAAGGTAGTGGGGGCGGACCCGAGCGTTGCCGCTACCACGGTTTGCAGCACGCGTTGGGCCCGCACGCCTGAGTCCTGTAAAAAGGGGAGGCTCAGTCTTGTTCGGTGGGTTGCGTCTGAGCCTTCTGGCCAAGTGGTGGCTGAGGTCGTGGTTGAACTGGGCCTCGAAATAAGGCCAGATCCTCAGGAAAAGAGGGAAGAGGCCAGACCCTCAGTGGACGACCGAACCTTCCGAGGATTGGCGCGACGTGCCAACGAGGCAAGGGTGAAAACTGGGGGCGGGACCGAAGTGCTCGATGCAGGGTAAAGGACGTATGGCGCGCCGAACCTGTCCTCAGAGGGAGGCCAAGTCCGCGCGGAGAACTTGCCAAGGCACGTTGGGGGTTGCTGCAAGCGGAAGACCCCATTGAAGGAAGATCAGCACAAGGAGCATTCATGAAGGTCCGGGGATGAACCCGGGCGCGACTTGAGGTAGGGGTGTGTCAAGGAAATAAAGAAGGGGGCCGTGGAGATTTTTCCCCAGGCTGACATCACGTGAGGCGGCTGCTAAAACTAAAATTATACTGAGGAGATTCGCAGAGCCCCTGGGTACGGATAGTACACACAAACCTCGAAAGGTGGCTAGGTCCGTGCGCAGTCCAACAAGCTGAAGTGACCCTAGGGCTGTCTGGATTCCGAGGGGCCATCGCACGCCGCTGCAAGAGAGTCCGTCAGGGCATTCGCCCGAATTTGGAGTAAGGCAGGAAAGATCGGCGGGCCATGAGCGTGGTGGCAACTATAAGTTGATGTGCGGTCGGTGCCCCGTGGCTGTTGACTTCCTTTTTCGAGTGCCTCGTCTTTTTGATGCCGTATGTCTCGGCGCACCGGCGAGAGCAGCGCTGTGGAAGGACGAACTGGGTTGGCGAATGAACGGGGGCGTGGGTTAGAGCCGGGTGCATGCAGGCGTAGAAGATTGGAGATGGCGGAGAGCTGGGCTGGGCGTAGCAGGGAGTAGAGAGCCCACTCAGTTCTTGGCTGTTTTGGGCGGGGAAAGATGCGTTTTGGGGGTTCTCGATAGTTGCGAATCCAATGGAGGGGTTAGATTTGGTGGTGGAGTAGTATATTTAGTGCTGGTAGAGAAAAAGATCGCACGGTGGTCAGAGACGGCGACGGGAGAAGAAGCGAAAAGAGATAAAAGTTGGCCACCAGGCTTTTTCCCGACCGTTCTTGATGAGTAAAGACTCTCGATACGGGATCTTGGGCACTGCGATCTCAATGATGAGCTCGGACTTCGTTGAAGGGATGTAAATTCGGTGCTGTAGCAGGCATGGGCTGCGCTCGGGAAGGGCTAATTTGGGATGGCCAATGTATCTACCCACATTTTGTGGAAGATTCGTTCGAGTTCTGCTCGTTCTGTCGGTGGAAAAAGGAAGGAGCACCGCACATAGTTGTTGGGGATCAGGTATAGCTGCGTGAAGGGCTAAGTTTCTCGATTCGAATTCGGACGAAAGCGAGCCGGGGAAGGGACCGGAAGAAGGAGAGTAAGTGCCTGGATGGCCTCTTGGAGAAGATTCATTTGACTTTGCCCATTGGATCAACGGAGTAGCGTAAGGCCAGCTGCGGGGCTGGAGACTTACCTGTCGGCAGACACATTGTTTATCTCGACGTTTGAACTGACCCGCATCTTCGGCCGCATAAGGAGGAGCAGCAACGAGATTGAGGACACAGGCTCTGGCGGTGCATCGCACCAGCCGGCAATGGAAGTACGGTGTCGGGATGCCGTCAGGTGAAGTAAGTGGGTCGGAGGGTTTACCTGTTAGCCGTGGTCGCCACCGCTCGTAGCGAGGTAGCCAGCGAGCAAGGAGACAAAGGGGGGGCGGGGGGTTGAAGGCCTACCAGTTGGTTGGACTCTGCTACTGTATGAGGAGGTGGGGTCCCATTGTTGAGTGTTGCTGCCATGGGATCGGAAAGCCGCAGGTTGCCACCAGCCGCTATGGCCTTCGAAGCTGCATTACCCCCTTGCTGTCCATGCTGACTCAACTAGCCGCTACAGCGGCTGCTGCGCTCGCTGTGGACAACCGTTGCTGTGCGAGGAGGAGCTTGCTGTGGTGCTGAGCCCTGCTGTGGGTTGTGGCTATTGCGTTACGGGCCGGTACGACCGTGCAGGCTGGCGGTCGTTTAACAGCAGCAGTCTGCTGGTGTCGGTATTGGTGGCTGTGTGGTTTGCCGCTGAGCTTTGCCTTTGAGGAGCTTGTTGATACGAAGTGGTGCTGCTGCTTATCGC